AGAAGAATTTATAGACTGGTAATGGACATATGGGCTAATATTGTATTTATGGACTTAACCTGGACTGGGCTGGAATGTTTTCTAAATATTCAATTGCTCTTTTATATAAAGCTCTTTCACATGAATATCTATGAATTTGTTTCTCTAGTCTACCCGGACTAACACAGATGGCTACTGTTGTGCCTGTTCAGGAAAGCACTGAAGTTGTGTAGATGGTGCAACACGCCAGGCAAAATTACGGGAAAGTGCCTTTGGGGCGGGAGTAACCCTTGATGAATAATGCACCCAGCTCTCTTTTAAGTTTCCTGCCCCACAGAGCCTTCTCCGATGCTCACCCTCAACACGGTCGTAGTGTTAGCTCATATACTTAGTGCCCATGCCAGCACACTGCAAAGCCCAAGCAAGATAGGCATCCAGTTACCTTATCTCCTCTCCTGGTTCATTTTGCTTTTGATCCACCTTTAGTGGCCCCCAAACCTTCAGTTGGCTTTTATACCAATGATATTTCTGTTCTCCAAGTGTTTCATTCTCTCTTCTCACTTCCCTGGGGGATATGGGAAAGAGCTGATAAAGTGGATCTCGGATCCAGTTTTTTATGGTGAGCTAAGCTGAAAAGTAGTTGGGACGTGCAGACTTTGTTGCTATCTGGGCAAAATAGAAAATAAAAAGAATTTTATTGAAAACATTTACATATTCACAGCCAAAGGCAGCAGGAGGATGGGAAGGAGGAGGGTTTAGAATCACACAGATTGGAGATGGGATCCCGGTGCTGCCACTTCTTAGCTTGGCGTCTTCGTTCTCACTGGAGTCTGAAAAACCACCCTGCAGGTCTGAGAATGAACTCAAACCTGTGCCTTGATTTTAAGCCAAACAAAAGGCAGGTTTGTCAGGGGAACAATAACACTAGGGAGGTAGTGCTTCTTAGAATCATCAACCATTTGAGATCAAAAGGGCAGCACTTATTCAAAAGACAAAGACCAGAGGGTTATGAATGAGGAGGAGGAATGCAGACAGGAAAAGAAGATATGAGAGTGAGACAAGCGATTGCACTGTAGGGGTTGCCATTAATGATATGAAACAAATGGTGCATGAATTATTGAAATGAAAATGGATAATCTGCTCCGTAAACCCTCACCCAAATCACGATACACAGCGAATGAAACACAGGAAATGAATCACAAGAATGTCTCAGGGTCCAAATGAGGTAAGGACACAGAAGATGGCCTGAGTAAACCTGCTATTCAGGATGGTGGCGGCATGGGGGTTGCCCACCTACTACTCAATTCCTCCACACACATATCCTCCTTCCTAAGGCAAATCCCTTTCTTCCAATGGCCATGCCATTTGCTTCAGGAAAAGCTGGCCCCAGCCTCCATTCCAAGGAGTTTTCTGGTTGGTTTGAGCCTCTGCGTTTTCCCATTTCCTACTCCTTTGGACTTGGATGCAAGAGACAATTTTGCACCCAGGAACTTTGAAGAAAGTCTGCTTTGATGGGGCGGGTGGGGTGGGGGGAGGGAGTCCCAAGCTCTCCTTTCCCTTCAAGGGACCCAACAACAAAGGGACGATTCTTTCTGCTTGTGGATCTTTTCATGTCTGGGGGGATGTGTTAGGTAGCTAGAGCAGGGACCAGGGGTGTCTACTGAGTATGCTCCAAATTCAAGCCCTTGAGCCAGGAAGGCGATACACGTGGGTGGGCCCAAACTAGGCCAGGTGGGCTTAATTCAGCCAATGGGGTTAACCAAGACAGTTGACCACACCTCCCAGCTCCTCTATCTCTGCTTGGACTTGCTGCAGGCTTTCTCTGGCCTCAGGCCACCACATGTGCGTGTGCAGTGCCATGTGGGTGCTTGTGTTCAGTTCACTGTAACACCTGAAACTTCTGTCCTTTATAAAAACCCACTTGGATCACAAACCAGGTTTCAGTGTGAAGTCTTCCTCGAGGGAAGCCAAGGACCGAGGTATTTCTCACCCAAGAAATCTTAACAGTTCCTAACTTGCCACAGAAAGCAGTGTCAATGACACCTGCACATTTTGCCCGAGTCTTTGGGCCTTCAAATGCCTGAGTGGAGGTCACTTGGAGCATCAAGTACTAGCACCTGGTAGGGATTCAACATTCATTCTGTATGAAGTCAAACAGAATCCAAGCAACAGTCCTCTCTGGAAAGATATTTAAAAAGAAGCTCTGGGGGCTTGAGGACCCTCTAGATCAGTGGTTTTCAACCTTCCTAATGCTGCGACCCTTTAATACAGTTCCTCATGTTGTGGTGACCCCCCCCAACCATAAAATTATTTTCACTGCTACTTCATCACTGTCATTTTGCTACTGTTATGATGGGGCGGCCCCTGTGAAAGGGTTGTTCAATCCCAAAGGGGTTGCGACCCACAGGTTGAGAACCACTGCTCTAGATGGAGAGAAACGCATTCCTGCATCTCTCCTTTGCCCCATTCTTGTCTCTGACGTGCAGTGAAGGCCTATCCATTCATCTATTTAACATCTGTTGAGCTTCCATCAGTGAGGAGAACCAAAGAAGCGGCATGAGAGCCCTCAGAGTGGTTCTTGCACTAATGGGCACACAGAAATGGGAACAGTAAGTACAAGCGAGTGTTACAGGGTGTTTATTACAAACATCTATCCGGAGACAGTTGAAACACTTAAAGAGAGAGAACGTCAGGATGAATGTGTACCAGACCCACGGGGGAGGCAGTCACATAAGCAAATGAGCAAAGGCACAGTTGGAGCGGAAGCGCACGCCTGGCCAAGGCTGTTAGGGGAGAACAGCACAGCCAGGCGGGATGGAGAGAGAGTGCAGGGGACAAGACGGAGCCCTGGCCAGGCAGGGTGAGGTCCAGAGCAGGAAGCCAGGTGTAAAGGCTGGTCCTGCAGGAATGCTGTGTGGGCTGGGCCAGTTGTGAATGCAGTACCTGGATGTGGCCTGTGGCACCTCTGGCTGGAATGAGTCCCCTCATGGAGACTGTGCGGACTGGAAAACTGAAGGCAGTCAGACAACAAGGTTGGAACCAGGCATCAGGGCTTCTGGTTCTGATCCCCATTCAGCCACCAGGACTGTCAGGTCCACCCTGTGGGTGCTTATCTCCTTGGTTAAATGATCGGATGGGCCAGGTGACCTTTAGGACCTCAACGCAGTCACTGCCCTGGACTCCTGGAGACCAAGGAGGGCAGGGCAGAACTGCCCCGTGAGGCCCTAAGACGGTCACCGGTGGCGGGAGGAGAAAGCCCCGCTGTCTTTCTCCTGTGGAGTGGCTGGTGGTTTGAAACTGCTGACCTGTGGCAGCAAAGCTCAACGCATAACCACTACAGACCCAGGGCCCCCAGGTGACCTTGACAGGCCTTGCAACTCTGATATGCTAGGGTTCTGAGTCAGCTACAAGGCACCTGTGCCCCGCCCCCCATGGCAGCTTTGCCCAGGACAAAGGGCAACCACACTGTCTTGAATGCCAACATTAACTGATTGGTAGAGGCTACTTGGAATGGGCCATCAAAAAAGCTCTGAGGCTGCAAAAATGCCTGTGCCCCACCAAAAGAGAATGCCGGGATGGATTAGTGATGTCTGTCTACCACGATGGGTGAATGTACTCAACTTTTTAAAGTAGCTGCAGGAACGTGCCAATACTTATCCAACTGGGTAAAATCCTGAGCTGGAATAAAGCTACTGAAGATGAGTATCTCCCAGGGGGTCTATGAAAGCAAGTGTCATGGTCCCCCCCCAGTCTTGGCCAACCCTGTTCTCACTCAGATCCCCTACAGCTAACTCATCATTTAGTCCCAATGCTCCAGGCTTCTTGCTTCTGCCCCGCTGCCTTCGCCATCTCTAAAGATCAGCTCTTTGGCCTGTGGCTCTGACCTCTTTCCTTGTAGCCAAGGCACAATGAATTAATTACACAAAAGGCTCTCTAAGCAAGAAAGGTACCCTCTCTTTTAAAAATGTGGTCAGTAAACAATTCCAATCACTTCTCTGCTTTGCCTCCAATATTTCCTTTCTGAGTGTTGTCTGTCCTCTGCCTCCAGCCAGGGTCACCTGGGGCTCTCGGGCGGATGCCCCCAGTGCTGGCAACAGGCAGGGGGCTGATTTCATACACGAGGGCACAAAGCTGTGGTACAGCTGGCAGGAAGCGAGGTGTAATTATGTTGCGTCTTAGAGCCACCAGCAATGCCTTGCTGCAGAACGGACGAGATTGGCTCTGTATTATTTACACCAGTATCCATTTCCCAGCCAGCTCTATACACTGTGCCAATGTTCCTCTGTCTGTATCTGGGCCAGGCCATGGTTCAGCACCTAGAGTGACTCTACCATCTAGGGGCCCCGCGGGGCAGCAGCCGTATTAAACAAGTGGCTGGATGCACCAGGAACGGGTCACATCCTCCCCTCCCGGTTAAATTATATCCCTGGGACTGCGGCAGGCTCCCTTTCATCACACCTAGTCAGGGTGATGCGTGCAGGTGCGTGAAATGGAAGCAGCAAGAGGAGGTCCAGTCCGCCCGTCTGCTGGGGAGAGTGGACCCACAGCCATCTGGGGGCAAGTGAGGTGGGTTAGGGGCTCAGGAAGGTTCTTTGTTAGGCTTTACGAGCAGCTCCGTATTCAGGAGGCTATTGCCACCCAGGAATCCAGAGACAGCTGCGGGCCCGCGAGCCCCAGCGCTCACGGAACACAGACAGACATCAAAAAGGCAAAGGAGAAGAGAGACAGAGGCAGGCTAGAAGCCTCATGGCCCGTCATGATGTCATGCGAGGTTGACTGTGGGATCAGAAGGTGATGTGCAGGCTCGTCCATCGCCACGAGCGAGCCTCTTCAGGGGTGCCCGTGCCAGGATGCACTCACGTGGTAGAAACAAGTGAAGGAAACTAGGCACCGGCAGGCATTTCTGGATCCTCCCACTGTCCGGTTCTCTCTCGCCGACGGCTCGCTGTGCTTGCTGCAAGGAAGAGCGGAGTCCCTGCTGCTTCTTCCCCTCTTCTCTGGCCTGCCTGCGAGCTGCCACAGCTGTGCACCCAACTGCGGGTAGCAGTGAACCCATGCCTAAATGGGTAAGGAAGCAGGGGCCTATATGACCCCCTGCTTTTCCAATCAACAACACCAATCATGTCTGATCCCCCTGGAGCACTGGGCTCTGTTCTGGAGGCCCCCAAGCCCCGATGTCCACCATCTCTCGGATTCCTGTTGGCTGGAAGAGACAGGAGGGAAACGTCAGTTGCATTTTTGGGTGTGGCTGGATCACGATTAGCATGCGTGTGTAAGTATATAAGTAACAAAGCATTTAACATTCCAACTATCTTCATTTACCCCAAATTCCCCAAACCAGGCCCAGTGCCCTCAAGTTGATTCCAACACATAGTGACAATTCCAACACATGGTGACCTTATTGGGCAAAGTAGAACTTCTCCTTTGGGTTTCTGAGGCTATAAATCTTTACGGAAGCAGACAGCCTCTTTCTCAAGAGGTGAGGCTGGTGGGTTTGAACCGCTGACCTTTGTGATTAGCAGACCAACTCATACTCCACTGTGCCACCAGTGATACTAATTCGGTTCATTAGGTTGTTCAACCATCACTTCTCTGTTCCCCAATGACATCATTCACTTGAAGAGAAGCTCAGGGTCCGTCTCCCTCAGGAAAGTGAAACATTTGCGTTATGTGGACCCAGTGGCCTCTCTGGTGGCAAGGCTTCAGTGCCAAGTATCCCTCTATGAACACCTATGCCATGGGAACCACCCCCTATGCCCAGATGCCAGCTTGCTCCTGGGGGCCAGCTTACCTGGCGGGGAGACTTGCTCAGGCAGGCCACGCGCTGGCCACCTGCTTGGCCTGCTCCCTCGTCCACCTCCAGGAGGACCCGGGTGTTGGGCACGAAGCTCCAGGAGCGTCCCAGGGCAGGTCTGAGCTTCCCACTGTCCCTTTCTCGGGTCACCTGGTTGGTCACCTATGTCGGAAAGAATCAGGCTCACAGACCCAGAATGCTGGCACAGAGGACATCTGATCTATGACTTCATCCTATCGATGGGAAAACGTAAGATCATAGGCAGCGAACTGAACTCCCTCAAGGCTCCACCTCTAGCAACAGCAGTCCAGAACCTGACCCTGACACATGGTCCTGCTTGGTGTCTCACTCACTCCAGGAAACCAGGAAGCAGCAGGGCTCAGGCTTGGGACCAACCAGGGGGAAAGGGGCACATGTCTGGGAACCAGTGGTGCTCTCTACACTCTCCCAAGGGAGAGCCAGAGTGGCTTTGAATCCCCTACCCACCGCCCAACAGGGCACGCAGAGACCATGGCCGGCCAGCTCTCTGTGCCTGGACATGCACTTGTGCAAGAGTGCGGGAGGGAGGGCTGGGTCAGTGTGGTAGCGACACAATTTCATGTCAACTTGATGAATAAGAATGAAGGGGTGGAGTCTAGCCTGTCAATCAGGTCACAGCCTAATGATCCCTCCTTGTGGGTGTGACCTTCTCATGAGAATTCTGGGAACTTCCTCTCTTCCTCCCTGGAGGAGGGACACACGTGTTCTCCGCTTTGCCTTCCTGATAACAAGCCATCTGGAGCCACGCTGATGGCAGCCAGAGCCCTGAGGATGCTTCCACCGCCACTGGGATCCACCAGACTTTCCACCCACCGGCCTGTGTCCTTGCTGCATTCGGCATCCTTGCATGTGCAGCTTGAGTCTGAAGAGGAATTTATGGACTAGTATCAGACATATGGGCTAATATCAGGCTTATGGATTTGATATGGACTGGGCTGGGATGCTTTCTTAATATACAATTGCTCCTTGATATAAAGCTCTCCTTTACACATAGATGAGTGTCTCTGGATTGGTTTCTCTGGTCAACCTAGCCTAATACAGTCAGCCCTCCTCTGCCCAGGCCTGGTCCTCGTCCTAGAGACCTGTGCATTCTTCGATGAGCCCCCGTGGGCAGGGTGTGTGTGTGGCTGGCTCACCTCCGAACCCCACCACCTGAGCCAGGCCTGGCATACAGCAGGACACCCCCCCCACCCCCCACCCCCACACCCTGAAGATGGGAAGGGTGGCCTTGGGATCTTGTGATTGGACAAAAGAACTGCAGAACAGATTCTCCTGGGCTCCTGGTGGGCACATCAATTAGTATAACTCCCTGGCCATGTGGCAGTGCCTATGGTGCATTGAAAGATACGTGTGTCCCTGGCCCACTAGGCTGTAATGAATTTATTTCAAGAAAGTAAGATAGGATGTAAAAGAGATGGAGGTATGAGGCTGCTCACTGTAGTCTGATTTATCATAGAGAGACATGGGCTGTGACATAAAGGTCCATCGAGCTGGACCTGGTTAGATCATTAAGGTAGATCAGGGATTGGCAAACTATGGCCCACAGATCAAATTCAGCCCGACAACTCTTCTCTTAATAAAGTTTTATCGGCACAGAGCCATGACCATTTCTTTCTGCACTGTCTATGGTTGCTGTCAGGCCGTCACGGCACAGCTGAGCAGGCACCACCGACGATAGATATGGCCGTAGAGCCTCAGCTATTTACTGGCTCTCCACAGGAAACGTTTGCAGACCTCTGTGGTACAGGCACGGAACAAACCATGCAAACAAAATGCAGCTGATATAAAAAGACATCCTCAAAGGCTCCGCCAGGAACAAAACTGAGATAGTTTTTGTTGTTGTTCAAGCAAGGTTACAGTTTAGTTAGGAAGGCGACATAAAATAGGCATCGAAGTGCCAAGAAAAACAGCCTACGAGGGCCTATCAGACTACTGATACCGTTTCAGTGGGTTTGACGGTGGATTAGAGTTTAATCTTAGATTTTTCACTCTTTCTATAAGAAGTAAGGGCTTTGAAAACAATGACTTCATAAACTTTATTTCCTTGAGAAATAAAAAAAGTCCATTCACATGAAACTCTGGAAAAGGCAAAACTATTGAGACTGCACAGAGATTAGGGGTGGCCGGGGGTTGGGGGAACCTTCTGGGCTGATAGAAATACTATCTTTGTAGCAGCGGTAACAAGACTATATATTATTACATCCATTAATCAAACTTCAAAGTGGGAGAAATCCTTCTCTGTGTAAAATATACTGCAATAACCCTGACTGTAAAAAATGACAGTACAATGAACAGTCAGACTGCCCTTGATCCCCTTGGCTTATAGAATCCAATCTCCTCATCATCCAGGGCCCATGTGATCCAGGGAGCAGGGCTCTGACACTTTCCCACAGGGCGCTCTAGGGGTTCAGAAGCCATTTGATGGAAATAAAGAGCTACAATCAGAAATCATCTCCTCCCTCTGGGAAACCAAGCAGCAGGGAGATGACTGGGCACAGCCAGCCAAACTCAGGTCCTCACCACTACTGCCACACCGAGGTCCCGGGCCAGCATCTTCAGCTCTCGGGCCAACTGCATCATCAAGGCCAGGCCTGGAGGAGGAGAAGCAGCAGGAGGGTCTGGGACAGGCTGGCCAGAGACGAGAGTCCCAGAGCTGGGAGGTGAGACCGTATCCGTCTGACCCTGGGTTCTGCCACACCACTCACCTTCCCTCTGCTGACCTCCCAGAAGTGGAGAAATGACCGCGGTGACTGAGTCTACCACCACCACCTTCAGAGTCCCAGAACTGATCACCTGGGGAGAGGCAGGCAGTGTGAGCCAGCTGACCCCCAGAGGCATCTTTTCAGGACCAGCTTGCTTACTGCTCTGCCAGAAACAAACCCAATCCACACTTACTCCCTTCCAGTGGATGCCGATTCACAATGACAGGGTAGAACTGCCCCTGTGGGTTTCTGAGCCTGTAAATCTTTACAGGACCAGAAAGCCTCCTCTTTCTCTTGTGGAGTGGCTGGTGGTTTTGAACTGTTGGCCTTGAGGTTAGCTGCTCACGGTATAACCCATTACACCACCAGGGCACCGGAGACTACTAAGAAATAAATGTCCTCTTCAACTACAAGGAGTGCCTGTGGCACAAGAAGGATGATCCAGGCTGCTGACCCAAAGAGTGTCAGTTTGCACCCACTTACCACCATGCGGAGGAAAAGTCCTGGTGATCCGCTCCCATAGAGACTTCTGTCTATGAAACCCTCCGGGGCAGTTCTACTGGGTCACCGTGAGTCCCAGATCAACAGCACCGAACACAGGACGGCCAATAGAGCTACGCAGGCATGAGGCTTCCCACTCCCATCAAGACTGAGTCTCGGGATCCCAGGGCCAGGTGTACCCCGTGCTGTGGGGTCGCTGCGAGTCGGCATCGACTCCACGGCCGTGAGTTTGAGTGTTGAGAGGCATCTCAGCAATATTTCTCCCTCAGCCCCTCAATCTGTAGACATAGCAGACTTCACTGAAGATCCGGGCAGACAGCAAGGAGCTAAATCACAGGATCACATTGCAAGTACACTAATTACATTTTATAAATTCCCCATCTTCTGGGTCTTCGTCCCAGGATTTCTCAGTGGTCATCTTTCTTGTGTCAGCCTCCCACCATCCTGCTAATCCCCTCTCCTCTTTTTTGAAGCCCTCCTTATCCCCCTCCCCCAGTCACTCCGACCTCCCAAAGTCCTAACGCCCTATATGGAAAGGTTTGGCTGTCTCTTTCTGATCTCTCTCATTCTGGATCATGCCTCCATGTCCTCACTCCTACCAAAGATGTTGCCAGATAAAGGCGGTTCTTCTTTCTCTAAGAAGAACTCCGATGCCATCTGTTAAAATTGGAAATTTCTGTCTCTGCAGGAGGGTGATGCGTACCCAGCCTTTCCTCCTCTGGCGCTCTATGCCTGATATCCAAATCAGTGGTGGATTCTGTCTCCACGTCCTTTTTACTTGTGTTCCACGTCTTCCATCATCTTCCAGTTACTGCCTGGGGCCAGTCCCGTGCCAATCTAAGAGAAGCTCCAACTGTGGTCAGCTTAGCCCTCCTTACCATCCACGGGAGCAGGTCGAATCACCAGTGAAAATGGAACCACAGCCCTTTGCTGCTTGTGACGCTAAAGCTCTCAGGCCACATGGGGTGAGCTCAAGGGGACCCCCAAGGTCTGGTATTCGGGTGCTTGTACAAGCCTCTCTCTTAAAGTGTGGTCGGGCTTGTAACTTGCTTCCAGGCAAAAGAATACGGAAAAGTGTTGGAACGTCACTCTCTCGATGGTGCTGCGCCTCATGGCGATGGTTACGCAATCCCACTCCTGCGATCCCGGGATGTGGGACCTCACCTTGCCCTCACTCTCCTGCTGGGTCTGAAGCAAGCAGCCAGGTCAGTCGTGAACAGCCTCTGGGAAGGACCCAGGTGGCAGAGAACAAAGAGGAGCCTCAACAAAAGAAGGAGCTTCAAGGAGTTGCAGGCAGCTCCCAGCCAACCACCAGGAGAGAGAAGGAGGTCCTCAGCCACGGTGCCATCGATGCTCCCGGATAGGGTGGGAGGAAACGCAACTTCTTTTCTTTCAAAAGGCCAGATCTACTGGACCAGTAGAGACTAGAGGAGCCCTTCAGCCTATTCCCCCGAGATTAAGGTAAACCAGTTTGGGCCAACCAGAAATAAAGGGGGAAAGGTTTCCCCGATACGCGCGGGGTATACAGGAAAGCTTTTTCTCTCTCACTGCCCTGGAAGTGGTTACGGAGGTGCAGACATGATGCCGCTTCGGAATCTCGAGGGGAGAGCAAGAGCACCAGACACACCCCGCCAGTGCCCCTGCCGACCTCCACGTTCATGTGAGACGCTAACATATCCTCAAGGTCCAGTTCCGCTGGAAACATTCCCCGCGCATCCAGTAGTGAAGCACAAATACACAGAGGGAGGAATCACGCAGGGTCCTGGCCCCCAACAGGCTGTTAGAGGGAAGGTGGACTTCTCAAGGCGATGTGGACTGAGCACTCAGCAGTGGAGGAGGGACACCAGCAGGAGCTACAGACTTTACATCGGAAGCGTGTCCGGAGGACTCTGTTCTGGGACACCTCCTGCACACAGACAGCTTCTGGCGAGCGAGCGAGGTCCTGCGGGAGAGGCAGAACGACTCACCTGCTGGGCCCCCATGCCTCCTCGGAGGTCCTGCAGCACATGCAGCAGCCGGAAGATGTCAAACACATGCACCACCTGGATCCTCTGCAGAGCTCCTGCCTGAAGGGGCGGGGAGGAAACAGAGCTTTGGCTTTAAAAAGAGGCAGAGGTGAGGGAAGGAGATGAAGCAGAATTGCAAGGCTGGGAAAGCAGAGGCAACCAGAAGCAGGCTTAGGTGTAAGACATCCAAAGGGTTTTGTCTGACAGGCCAGTCCTCACTCACAGCAGTGGCTGTCTGGGTACTGAGCTGTAAAGTGAAGCTGGAGATCAGTGGGAAGGGGTGATGTGATTGATTAGTGATGCCTCGCCTGGGCAGGAAATGGGCTGGAAACACAGATGCCGGGTGTTTGCCAGCCCTCTTTTAGCGTGTGTAGGAGGCTGGGAGGTTTTCTGAAGAATTGGTGTGGGCAGCACCCATGCCAAGATAATGGCAGTAACGGGGAGGCTTAGTGAGTACAAGAAGTTATATTAGCACAGTAAGTTATTCAACAAGAAGTGACTCTTGTCTAATGGACTCGTGCAAAATACAACATAATAAGAACTCTCAAAAAACCTCTGTGCCAGGTCCTCCTCTAAAACCCCTCCCTCCTTACCTGTTCCTCCTCTTCCTGGGTTCGGGCCTGAAGCAGCTGGAGGAGGCGGGAGGCTGTCAGCCCCCCACTGGAATCGACGTATAGCACATTCTGCTGCAAGCTGTGGGCCACGTTTGCAGCCACACAGAGACATACCTGAGTAGAGACCAGGGGCGCTGGGAAGGGCCGGAATGGGGGCTCCCCACCAAATCCTGCACAGACCCCAGCAGCACGAACAGCCCAACTGCAGCCCCGACTTGTGCCCCCACTGCCTCTCTACCCGGTTTGGTGCCCATGAGCTTGCCAAGGGCCTCAGGGTACACATCCATCCACCTCCCATCCTTCCAAGCTGCCCACCTGACGCGCACCTGGGTTTTGCCGCTACTGGGGCTTCCAACGAATTCTGCCACTTCTCCAGTGTAGAGACCCCCGTCAAGCAGTTTGTCCAGGCTGAGGGCCAAAGGGAAGAGAAGACATCAACTTTGGGTGTGGGGAGAAGCAGAGACATTTGTGCAGAACAAGCACTGGTCTGTCCACCTCTCTGGTCAGGAGGCGTGTCCTGGTGGGGCGGGGAGCTTCTGGGAAGGAGGGCACAGCTAGAGATTCTTCCTCATCCTTCCAGTCAACTTAAATACCGGCTCTCCAGACAAACGTTTGCCCTCCCAACAAGGTCTTCCTTTATGCCTCATGTCAGCCTCGTGCAGGTTTCCATGATAGTATGTCCCATACTTTGTCATTAAAAAAAAAAAGCTTTTTCGTTTGAAGTAACCATAAAACCACAGGAAGTTGCAAAGCAAAATGCACAGAGAGGTGCTGTGTCCCACCTACCTAGTTTCCCTCACCTGACATAAAAAGGAAACTGCGCTTGGTACAATCCAGAGAGCACATTCCCCCGTGGCATTCTATCACTGTGCGTTTCCGTATGGGAGCCCCTGAGTGGTGCAAACAGCGGGGCACTCGGCTACTAACCACAGGACGGCAGTTTAAATCCACCCAGAAGTTGCCTCGGAAGGCCTGGCAACTTCCGGAAAGTCTAGAACCAAAAGAGCCCGACACCAAGTCAGGGCTGCCTCACGGCGACCCCATGTCCTGCAGAGTCAATGGCTCCTCAGGGCTTTCTTGGCTGGAGTCTTGGCAACACCAGGCCATGGGATCTTTCTTCTGTGGTGGGGTTAGGGGGTCTCGAAGAACCTACAAAAAGATCCCCAGCCCTCGAAAACCACACACACGGGCTGCTGTCATTCGTCTGGATCAACTTGATGGAACTGATTTGTTTGCTTGCTCGTCTGTGGTTTGCGTAGTTACCAACACAGTCGAAAGAGGGCCTTTCCATCATACGTCTGCATGGTGCTACACTTTTATGGCCACATCCCTCACCCTGCAACCACTCACTCGTGTTCCATACTTTACCAGTGAACTAGAAGCACAGTGTGTTAGTCAGGGTTGACTAGAGAAACAAGTCCAGAGACACTCATCTGTGTGTAATAGAGAACATTCAATCAAAGAGTAATTGCATATTGAGAAAACATCCCAGCCAGGTCCAGTCAAGTCCATAAGTACAATATTAGCCCAACAGTCTGATCCCAGTCTATAAATTCCTCCTCAGACTCACACAACACATGCAATGATGCAGAATGCAGGAAGACCACAGGTCAGTGGGTGAAAAGTCTTGTGGCTCCAGTGGAATCACATGGCTCCTCCAGCTCCAGGGCTCTGGCTGCCATCAGTGTAGCTCCATGTGGCTTGTCAGCAGGAATGTGTAGCAAAGTCTCTGAGTCCCATCTCCAGGGAAGCAGACAGGAGTTCCCAGAATCCTCAGAAGGCCATGCCCACACAGAGGCCTCGTTGGCTGTGACCTGATTGACAGGCTAGACTCCACCCCTTCACAAGTTGACAGATTATGTAACTGCCACACATACCATATGTAACCTCTGATTTTGCCTTTTTTCAGCCAGCACAACCCTCTCTTCAACCAAGGTCTTGCCTACATCAATAGCTCCTTTTACATTGCTAGTAGCAATGAACTACAACTTGTCATTTCTATTTTAGCTAATCTGATAGGTGACATCTCACTGTGGGTTCAATGTGCATTTTCTTAATAGTTTATTTTATATATTTAACATTTCATAGTGTTTTAGGGAACAGTTTCTCTAGCAAATTCGTTTTCCTCTGTGGTGTTGGTTGCAACCCTCGCAATGTGTCCTCGCCTCCTCATCTTCCTGGGCTTCCTCTTCTCGGTCATATTTCCTTCTCTCTCCCAGTCTCATCTTGGTTCTGGGCAAATGTTGCCCTGTTGGCCTCACACAGCTGATTGTCTGAAGAGCACATTCTTCGAGCTGTTCTGTGGTCCCTTCTATTATTGGACTGGAAGGTGGCCTTCGGCCATGCCTTTGGTTTCAAAATAGGTTTCAAAGGGCAATAGCCTGGGGGTTGCTGTCTCTTCCCGACCTGTACATCTGGTGGGATTTTTGTTTTGTTTCTGTGTGCTTGTTGCCCATTCTGACGGGGGCTTTTACTGTGGTTTTGGCCAGATCTAACAGATTCAAATATTTTGCTGTGGTATGTGCCCTGCGTGTCCTTTCTGGGGAAATGGCTGCTCGTCTCTATTTTCCATTTGCGAATGGGGTTGTTTTGTCTTTTCCCCTGTGGTGTGTGGGGAGTTGTTTACCCACAAGCGCTGTGTTGAACATGTGGTTTGCAAATCTTTTCCCCTGCAGTTTGTCTTTTCATCCTCTCCTTGTAGAGAAAACGCTTTTAATTTTGATGAAGTCTAGTGTATCCATTTTCCCTTTTCTGGATCATTCGAGTTCAAGTTTAAGCTTTTCTGTTGTTGCTCGGTGCCGTCGAGCTGGCGCTCAATCGGTGACCCTGCGCACAGCAGAACGAACCGCTGCCAGGCCCTGTGCCGACCGCACAATTCTTACGATGTTTGAGACACTCAACGCTTGTCACCACTGTGTCCATCCATTTCCTGGGGGGGTTTCCTCTTGTTCACTGCCCTTCTCCTTTACCAAGCAGGATGTCCATATCCAGAGACTAGTTCTCTCCTTGATCACCTGTCCAGAGAGCATGCTCCTCACTTCCAAGGAGCATTCTTGGCCGTGCTTCCTCCGAGACAAATTTGTTCATTCTCTGCCAACACTATCATTCAAATACATTGACTCTTCTCTGGTCTTTCTTAAACCACTGTCCAGCTTCCATGTGCAAATGAGGCAACTGAAAATACTTTGGCTTGGATCAGGCACACCTTGGTCCTCAGAGTGCCATCTTGGCTTAGCTATAAGTCCTTAAGATGTTTTATTTCCCTTAAACATTTTTTATAGTTTTACATTTAAGTCCAGGATCCATTTTGACTAAATCTTTGATGAAGTAAGATGTTTAGGACAAGATTCTCTTTTTTCGGTCTATAGCTGCCCAATAGCTTTCACCAAATGGTGAAAAGGCTGGCTTTCCTCCACGGATGTGGTTTAGTATCCTTATCAAATCAGCGGGGCATATTGTGTGGCTGTTTCTGAGTTCCCTACTCTGTTCCATTCATCCACCTGCCAGATGCCCGTCCCTTTCCCAGTACCACACTTGTGGGCTACCATGATAGCCTTCGCGATGAGTAGAATGATTGTGCTTCATCCACTTTCTTTTCTCCAAACACTGTTGTAGCTCTTTTGGATTCCTTGCCTTTCTGTGCGAATGTTAGAATGAACTTGTCCATGTCTACCCAAAAATCTTGCTGGAATTCTGGCAGGGATCATCCTAAATCTATAGATGAATTTGGGTAAAATTGATCATCTTTCTTATGTTGAGTCTCCCTTTCCATGAATCTAGTTTGTCTCGGCATCTAGTCAAGTCTTCCATCAACAATTTCTCATTTTCAGCATACAAACCCTATACATGCTTCCTCCCATTTATACTGAAAGCATTTAATTTTCTTTGGAACGACTGTGTAAATGACAGTGCATTTTTACACCTACATTCCTACATATTTAGTGTCTGTATATATAGACATGTGATTGCTCTGGGGCTATTGCTCTGGTAACTTGTGAGTTTAATGAAATCACTTATTAGTCTTAAGAATTTGTAGTCTTTTTCTATTTGCTAGGCTTTGTCTATCTCCCCCATCAGGCTGGGGTAGCTCTGGGACAAAGACTCATCCTTGCTCACAGTTGCATCCCCAGCGCCAACACACTGCCTGAGACCCAACAACATCATTAGATAATTGCAGGCTGTCCGTCAGGCCATGGAGACCTGGGAAGAAACATGACACTTGTTGCCACTGAGTTGATTCGGACTCACAGTGACCCTGCGGGACAGGGAACTGCCGACAGGGTTTCCAAGGCAGTTTCATGGAAGCAGACAAGCAGACCCATCCAATTCCTGATCCAGGTTCTGACCCTGAGCCACCTGGTAGCAGGCCACTAGCCACTCTCCACACCTTGCCCAGCTTCTCCTGAACCTCATGAATCTCCGAGTCATGCCCACACCCATCCCTTCCCTTACCCCGCCATCACCACCACAGGATCCAGTCCTCTGAAAGGACTCTTGAATATCTCCCATGACCTCTTGGTCTATGCCAAACATCACCTTGGTAATCCATCTGTTTCCAGTCTAGGAACCCATGATTGTAGCCACAGGTATTCTATTAGTCAAAATATCCTGGTGACACCCCGCCCCCACCAATCTGGGGGCTGATTGCACCCACCCTGTCTCTGCCGTTTAATAAGCACCATCATCCAGCCAGGGTCCCTCCAGGATTCCATCCCTCCCGCTGAGCTCAGGGAACCAGTCCCATCCCAGCGGAGGTTCTCCAGCCTAGGCTCCTCAAACCACCTGCAGCAGCGCCCGGGGACTCAGCTGCCTGCAGATTCTCAGGCTGCACCTCCCATCTACAGCAGCAGGTGGTGCTGTGACAGGCCTCCAAGGGATCCCGATGTTGCTCAAGTGTGAAAACCCTCAGACCTAAGGATTTTCAGTGCCCTCAGTCCTTTAAAATCAACCAGCCAGCTTTAAAAGAGGCTGTTTGTCCACACATTGGAGCCACCTGGGGAGCCATTAACGCCTGTGTCCCACCTCCAGAGAGTGTGATTTCATTGGTCTGGGGTGGCCCTGTGCTTTGGAATGTTGGAAGATTTTCCCAGATGAACCTATTGTACAAAAAGTTTTGGGACCATTGGCCTAGACCAGCGGTTCTCAACCTGTGGGTTGCGACACAGCCCCCCCAACCGACTTTGGGGGTCGAACGACCATTTCACAGGGGTTGCCTGATTCATAACAGTAACAAAATAACAACAGTTAGGAAGTAGCAACAAAAATAATTTTGTGGTTGGGGGGTCACCACAACATGAGGAACTGGATGAAAGGGTCGCGGCCTTAGGAAGGGTGAGAACTGCTTGCTCTAGACCAAGGAAGTCAGAACTTCTAGAAGGGGGAGGCATCCCAGATGAGTCTAATACACAATCAAGGGTAACCAACCACTGGCCTTGACGCCTTGGCCAAGAATTAACCAGCTCCTTGGCTATAATAATCACTTCATTAGAAATTCCCATGTCCACCTCCCACCTCTCGACTCCTCAGCTGTGTTTCAGTTCGTCACCCACTGCCTTGAGGACCTTCTTATCTATATCAGCCCCTGACCTGCCTTGTAGACCCAAAGTATGCCTGTCTGGAATACAAGTGGTTTCCGGATTTGTCCTCCACATCCCCTCTGAACTGGCTTCCAGTCATTCATTCAAACACCACCTGAAGGCCTCCCATTGACATAAGACCTGTTCTAAAATGGCAGGAATACACAGATCAACCACCAACCATCATCGGTCACTTTGTCACGCGGTGTGTTGCTGTGACGCTAGAAGCTGTATCATGGGCATTTCAAATACCAGCAAGGGTCACCCAGGGTGGGCAGGTTTCAGTGCAAGAGGAACTAGGAAGAAAAGGCTTGGTGATCTACTTCCAAAACTTAGCCCATGAAAATCTAATGGAATGGATCACAACAGGAAACTGTCCGCTACAGCTACAGTGCTGTGCTCCTGACAATGGCTCAGGACCGGGCAGTACTTTGTTCTGTGGAGCTCGGGGTCCCCAGAAGTCAGCACTGAACAAGACACAGCTCTGGCCGCCAAAGGACCACCAATCTCCCCATAGATGCCGCTTTCCCCAAGGCACACACATCCTCTACCTCCTTGGAAAGATTTGCTGCGCACTTCCTTACGAAAGGCCTACAGCACGGAACGCTCTCTAATTCAGCCCTTCCCAAATGGTTCAGCTACATACCCTCTTCCCACAAGTCCTGTTTTAAAGTTACATCCGTTAACAGTCCCTCCACAGAACACTGAGGAAGATCGGACACCACGCCAGCCGACCTTGATTCTTGACACCATATCCCCTGGTAGAGAGGCCCATGGCATTTCTCCTGCACCATGTCTCACTGGCATTGCCCTGATGGGATACCCCCTCCCCCCCACCCCTCCCTGGCCTTGTTCCTGACAGCCCCCCAGCCCTATACACCTTGACCTGACAGCCTAACACTCTGTTTCCCCACTATTGCCTCCAACTCGAAAGAGGCAAGAGAGCAGATGGGTTAAGCCCTTAGATTGAGATGTGATTTCAAGGGCCTGATCCGAGCAACCTTGAGTAAGCCACTTAACCTTAGTCTCGCTTTCCTCAGCCATAAAATGCGGGTTTCAATCAGAACAGGCCCACTGGCGGCTGAAAAGAATGAATGAAATGATGCATGGGGGTGCACTGAGAACCTCAACGAAAGCCCATCCATCCCCCATTGCGTCCTTCAGAGCGGCTCTGAGCCACATGGCTGTCCCCTTTCACTACCCACTGCGGTGGCAACCCTGCCACTTTACCACTTGACTGCTCCCTAAATGCTTCCTCAGTGTCTGCCGGTCTTACAAACTCCCAAAGCCGAAAGGCCAACTCCTCCGCTTCCTGTTCACCCTTCCCTCCCGAGGCTACCTCCCTACTGACCCTCTGGATCCAGCCACACTCACGAGACCCCATCCACCTAAAGGGCAGGGCCTTGCCTGCTCTGAGCAGTGGCCGGCACCCAGTGGGCACTCAACCAGCCTTACTGTACAAACCTCACGCTGACCACTCAGCAGGTACTCAGCCGCAGCTGGATGACTAACCTACAGAGCTGGAGCCCTAAGAGGGGTGAGCAATCTACGCACAGGCTCAACCTCGCCAGCAGAACGTGTCTCGGAAAGAGCAAGCGCCAAGTCACTCCAAAGCCCTCTGTGGTGGCAGCTATTAATCGAATGCTATACAAACAGGCCAGGCAAGAGGTCAGACTCACTTGGCCAGAAAACGCCCGTCATCTTCCAACACTGTCTGTCTCCAAACAACGTGGAGAGTAGTAACTACGCCTTTATATGCGCTCGCTCACTCCCTGTGCCCAAAAGGCTGGTGAATGAACCGAGTACCCAGCCTAATACTCCAGGGCCCACCTCTCACCCCCGCCCCTTTGGATTCGTAGGGGAAACCCAAGTGGAGCTGCCCTTGAGTCTACTTTGAGTGACAGCTCACGTGTTAGAGTAAAATTAGGCTCCATTGAGTTTTTTCATGGCTGGTTTTTTTCGACAGCAGATCATCAGGTCTTTCTTCTCTTGGTGGTCTTGAGCCTCCGATGTTTCAATGAGCACCACGCAGGGACTCCTTACTGACAGGATCACAACCAAGCCACCTCCACAGAGTTGATTCCAACTCCGTTGGACCCTCTATAGAAATTGCCAGGACTGTAAATCTTTACAGGAACAGCCTCGCCTTTCTCCCGTGGAGCAGCTGGTGGGTTTGAACTGCCTATCCTATAGATAAGCAATCTAATGTCTAACCCACAGCGCCACCAAGTCATGCCCCGTAGGCACTCAATACATATTAACTCAGTTACAGGCGTTGATTCCGACTCATAGGAGATGTTAAAGGGCAGGGTAGATTGGGCCCTGTAACTCTGTTAAGAATAGAGCCTCATCTTCCTTGGAGCAGGCTGGTGGTTTCGAGCTCCTGACCTTGTAATTAAGAGGCCACCAAGGTTCCTGCTAGAAGAGAGCTCTTCGAAATCATAAAAAGATACTGATAGGGTGTTACAGAGCAGTGGTTTTGCCCCTAGAAATTACTGGGCAGAATCTAGTTTTTGTCATGAGTGGTGGAAGGGGTGCTACTGACATCTAGTGGGTAGAGAGAGGCCAGGCATGCTGCTAACCAGCCTGTAATATGCAGGGCAGTCGGGTACAACCTAGAATTATCCAGCACAGACTCCCATGGGTGCTGAGGTTGAAACGCCCTGCTATGGGCTCAGAGAAGTGAGCAAGCCTAGTCGCGAGCCTCTCATTTGTCCAAGCTGCCCTCGCACTGCAAGCACCGAGGCAGCCTGGTCCGTTGCCTTCTTCCTCCAATCCGCATACGAACCTCGCACAGCCGGTGGACAGGATAGCGGTGGAGGTCTTCAGGTCCTCGTAGAGATCCGCGCCATTGATGGGGATCGCCGAGAACTGGGCCAACAGCACCCGCCTCACAGCTACCAGGGCCTGGGAAAAGGGCCGGGACCATTCGGGACTCCCATGGCAGGGTGCCCACCGTGCTGACCCACCCACCAGAGGGGCAGCCCCGGCTCTCTGGCTGGCCATCAGTACCCCGTGCCCTGCGCACCCAGATGGGTATTTTAAGGCACCCTGCTTTGGAGACTGACGGCGGTGGGCTCACCTTATACGACAAGCCACATTTCTGGGCGACCTCCTCCAGGTCTGCAGAAACCAGGTCCACCACTGGAACGAGAGACACGGGGGTGGGCTTTTCCTGGTCCGTGACGGGGGCAATTCTGCCTCAGGGCAGCGCGTGCGATGAGGCTGACCTGAAGGGACAGCCGCAGGGTCTGGGGGGGTCTCCCCCTCCTCGGAAG